GGAACAAAAACATCTCTGTATTATCAGCCCTGTGTCCATCACAAATCCAAAATACTGTACTAGCCACTGTGAAGAAAATTAACTTTACCCCAGCTGAAACTACCAGAAAATCTTTCCAAATTTTAGAGCCATTCTCATCTTCAAGTATTTCAGGTGCATGTGCACCATGCTTGGTTTCACCTGTTGGCAAACACTGTTCCAGTATTCTTCTGAGATCTGATGACTAAGTATTCCCTATAGCTGCCAGCAGTCCTGTTGAGCTGTGATGCATGAATAAGGAGTAATGCTCAGAAAATAAGTGGTTCTGTTGTAGGACAAGGTTTAATAATATTGGTTCCTGAGACAGGCTGCTGAGTGCTGATTATGCAGCAAGATTTTCTAAAAGACTAAGCATCTAATCACTCCCACTGAATTAGGATAATGAAGAAAAAGGGGCATCTGGAAGGCAATGGGAGAAGGGATTGTCAAACTGATGTCACAGGAAGGTTTAAGGGACTGCATCATTTACTGTGTGGAGAATCAGAAGAGGCTATATAAAAAAAAATTTGAAAAACTTTTCAGGGAGGAGTCATGGAGGCAGCACCTTGTTTTTTCAGAGCAAACTAAGACCTAGGTATTTTTTAGGCTTTCAGCTATATGTAATGTTATTTTTTTTTCTGCTGATTCTAAATCAAGCATAGCCTGTGTTCTCTAGATGAGAAACCTCTGTGACCCTTAGTTATCTGGAGAATAGTCCATGCTAGGTTTATTAAATTTGCTTTAAAATTTATTTCATATTTGTTGGAAAGTGAATACTCATCACTTGCTCACATTTCTCTTTATAGTTTACATGGAACCCTAAGTTTATAAAGAGCTGCAGTGACATAACAGTGTTCTTAGTGGTGTCAAGCTATGGTAATCTACTGTGAGCTTTGAAATCCTTAGTCTTCATATGGAGCCATGTGGTTTGGGCACTGCAATGATGTTACACAGACATGTAATTTGGCTTTATGGTAGCATAGACATAGTTTTTACATGAGTATATCAAAAAAGGCATATAGGAGTTCATGAATGGATATACACGATATTCATATCAATATACATATTTTCTGAACTTAGGATATGGTGGTTTATGGGGCCTTTATAAGCATAAATTTTACTGGTGCTTATACTGGTATAAACATTTTTATGTTGACTTAACTGCATCACTGTGAGGGTTATTTGCAGTCAGACTGACATAACTGAGGGTGCTATTAGCTTTAGATACAGTGTCGATGAAAGCTAGACAGCATTGTCTACATAGAGGAAAATAAAGGAAATCCATCTGGCCCATCTCTTATGCATTGCAAGTGCATTTCTCTCATCCTTAAACACTCTCAGTAGAAGCTGTCTTCATGATGTGTGAATAAGTACATTTGCAAAATGTGTTGAAAATAGAAATTATGAAATATAGTGAAAGGAACTGAAACTACACATAGTCTCATCTGGAAATTTTCAGTGTAAGTGGATAACAGACTGGCAATCATAATACTGCTGTGGATTTTGGTAAGTTTGTTTTATTCAGATGATATCAGTTGCAAGATGTTTTTTTGCTATTATTCAACAAGAGCATGTAACTACCTGATATGCTCTTGAAAATCCTCTGTACTAACTTTGTGAAATGTGAGCTAATTAATTAAGAGATAGTGAGTCAATTTGTGTGGAGTTGCTTAAAGTGGGCCATAAAACTCCGTAATAAAATATGTAGAGAAAAATCTTTCAATATACCTTTAAGAGTATTTTGTTGGAGGAAGGCTTTCATCTTGGCCATACAAGTAATCTATTCTGTGAAAATTAATTAACAACAAGGATTGTTTATAATTCTGTGAGAATTATAGGCATAATTTACAGTCACATTTTGTGGGGCAGTTTTATCTGGGTTGGTTAGTTTTTGTACTTTTTTGTCCCTCTGTGAAGGAACAGCTTCAGATTCAAGTGCTGAAATTTCTCTGCTCCTGTCATGGTAGTGACAAAAATTATCTCACAACCCCAGTACATTTTCCCTCATATTTTTCTTCTGCATTTTAATGTGAGCTTCAGTACAATATCTCGATTATGATTATGAAATGATCTAGTTAAAAAATAATAGAAGCACTACAGAAAGAAGCCAACATCATATTCTGAATATTCTGAAAAGCACTTTGTTGGTGTGCTTCTTTGAAGGAGTTCTACTCTCTCCTGTCCTTTTGTTGTTGAACACTCAGAGGTTTTGACAGATATGAGCTACATTATACAAATATTATACTAACTTCAATAATTCAGAATTTCCAAAGGAAACTGAAGGGAATGGCATATAGAAAAGTGAGCCTGCAGTTCCGTCCTTATCTGTATTGACCTGTGCAAGAGAGAAAAGTTCCACAGTCCTGTAGTCCTGTCTCTTTGCCTCCTTTAATTAATATTTGGAATTGGCTTTTTTGCTGATCAGCACTTAGGGATCTGCAAAACCAGCATCTGTAGTTGTCCTTGGTGGGAGAACAAAAGATCACAAAACACATTTTTTGTGCCTTCCCCTCAGCACCCCTGTAATCACACTATAAAATGGATAGTATATCCTTCCTCTCAATAAAAGTATGTTTTATTTCCCTCAGAGATTAATTTCCACTGTTGTCACTACCTTAAGATATCAAATATCTTTATGACTTTTCTTGACTTCAATAAAGTGTGGCATGTCCTCTCTGAGCTGTCCTTTCCTGTTGGTAAGGGACAAGGCATGTGGTTTCCTGGTATTAAATACTGGGATTTTTTTCTCCACATTCTTGGGTTTCCAAGTCCAAAAATCTTGCTCTTCAGGCTTCTGTGGCAGCTTGTTTCTCCAAATACTGAGCTCCATTCCTACAAGAGCTAGCTCCTGGTAGCTGGTTATAGGATAGGCACATTCCCAGTGTTACTTCACCAGTAAAGGAAACCGTGTAAGAATTTATGAATGTTGAAAAGAAATGGCGTCATCTGTCACATGAAATAATCACAGAAAAACGTCCTTAATTGCTGTACTTAATCAGACAACAGATTTAGATTTTTTTTTCTGTATGTTTTTTTTGTGTACGTTTCTCCACCTGTTATGTGCTTCCCACATCTCATCTAGTCCCAGTACTCTCCATACAGAAATGGTTGCAGGGCAATTATTCATTTCCCTTCCATGCTTGTCAGAGCTATGAGGCTTTGCTCTGAAGCTGGGGCTAGACCTACACCAAGGTGTGTGTCATCCCCTTTTGCTGTCAGGAGATGCTGTGGACTATCTGGTATCTAATATGCCCACTATATATCGATATGCATCCTGATGCTTTTCTCTCTTCTTTCTAGGTTGTGTTTTGATGTTTTAGATCTGCAGGTAACAGCTGTCATGCTAGAAATACAAATGGAAGCAGATTGGTTCTGGTTTTAGCATTAACCATTTTAGCTTTTAGATGGCTACTGGGAATATTTTACTGTTTAAGATTGTCAGGAATTGATTCATGTATCTATTTCACAGTAAATGTTCATTCTGTGACAGAAATTATAAACTTATATTCATTCCTAAGAGTATGTGATGCCATGTGGATGGGCTTTCTGAAACTGCTGATGGACACCAGGTGATTTTGCTTTTATTCCAAACTAGTTTTAGGTCCATCTGAGTGGGTCATGCTCATGGGAAAGGCAAATAAGTCTTCAGAACTGCAAACTCCAGCTCTTGATGTTCGTTTAATAAATGTCTAGGACCATCTGCCAGATTTGCAGCCCAGTCTACAATTTGTTGTAGACAGTTCTAAAAACATAACAGTATATATGAAAACATAACAGTAAAAATAGTGGTTTATGTTAAGGAAACTTTTGCCTCCTGTGGGCTCTCAGATTAGTATTAGTCAGACTGTAGACTTTACTAAAATGGAGCTAGCTGCTCTATTCAGCAGAGCTGAACAGGCAAAATCGCTTTGAGTGAGAAAGGAGAAAAGGTTAATGTAGAGCTGTTGGGTGAAATACAGTCTTTCCAAATTTGCCATCTAGCTCAAGATCATCAGCTCCCAAAATCAGTGTCACAAATAGGGTCACGAACTGGGAATTTAAATGTAAATTGGGTTGTGCCTGCCCAGACAGAGAGGCCTGAAAGGAAATTTTTGTCTCTGCTGAGCCAGCTCTTCAAAGAAATCTTTAGCCAATTGGCCTGTGGTTTGTAAGTCTCATCAAAATGTAAAAGTTTTAGTGTAAAAATGATAATTCAGTAAGCTCCTGCACTTCTAAGCCATACCAAAATCTCGACAAAAATAGCAGAAAATAATTGGTGCCAGATGTTACCGGAAGTGTGGGATAAATGCACGCCAGAGTTCCAGGTACAGTGGCCAAGGCAGCAAACAAACAGATTCCTCTATCTGCATACTCTATTCTGTTAGGTACAAGAATACTCCATAGATGTGATGACAGTCCCAAAATACCAGATGAGACTAACTGTAAAATTTTAACTCAAATGTGCATTGGTTTTAATTATATAACACAGTACGTTTTGCAGTCAGGGTACTAATGAGTCGCTAATTCCCAGTCAGAGTAAGAGATTTGATTCCCAGCATATCTGCTAACTAGCCAGTCTGCTCCATACGGGCTGGAGCCTGCCCCATGACTCTCCCGGGAAATACTTCACAAAGCAAGATGTCCTAATTGTTTAAATGGGAGGGGAATGTGTGATTTAGCTGTGTTTGTTCTCCCAGTAAAAATGTCCTGCATAGTGGGAGCCAGTAAGAAACTGTGTGATCTAAAAGCTGGAGATGACTGTGTCCAATAACGGTTTCCTGATTATGTAAATGAGTTCTTAAAAATGCTTTACATTTCTTTCAAGAACCAGAAATGTTTCTTTTAATGATGTTAGCTGTCTGGAATTATGATTTAATTATTCATGCCCTATTCTTTCATATTTCTTTTCCTTTTGACATACTGTCAAAAAAGAAAAAAATTGGTTAAATAATTGAGAACATGTGAACTGCCATAAACAATCACTCTTGTTTGTTTCTCTGCAGAACAAAAGGAAGTAAAGGTGGGAGAATACAATGCTGTGGATGACAAATTGGTAATAATCAACAACAGCATCAGGTTCCAAGGTAGGAGACAAAACTGGAAAGAGGTACAGGAGTGACATGAATTGCTGTATGTAGTTTGTAAGACTGTGTGCTCTTAAAAACTGTTTTAGGATTTTTAACATCAAATTCTGTGACACTGGAGAAAGTAAAAGGGAAAAATGCTTTAAAAATAACATTCTGAACAGAAAATTGAAGTGTTTTGATATCATATACTTGGTTTTTTATTCCAATGTTAGGGCAAAATCAAATTTATATTTGTATACAAATGTTCTTTGATATATCAAGAAGCAGGTTCTTCACCAATTGATAATGTTCAATGTCACCCCCATTTCCTTTTCCCCCCAGTTCATCTCACCTGAGGGGTGCTCTCAGGTTCCAGTGTTTGCGGACATGAGAAGGAGGTAGTTGTTTTTCTTTGGGAGGTGTCTGTTAGGTAGTTCCAAGATAGGTTTTCAAAATACCAAGGCTGACTTTAACATGGCCTGTGGCCAGAGAGGGTTTTCAGACCAGCAGCACTCCAAAGGTCCACAGCAGACATGGAGCTTTTCTTGCTGCATCTTCCTGCCATTTTCATCCCATGCTGCTCCAAACATGGGGACTTCCTCAGCCTTCTAGCAGCTGGAGTGCAGGCATACCCATGTTTTTCAGAGCCCATGGTCATGGCAGCCAGGTGTGAGCTGAAATGAGTTTTAAGGGTGTCTCCTGTTGAATATAGGCACATACATTATTTTCAAAGCAAATTTTTAAGATTTAATCTTAAGCTCTGCTATGGTGGAGTTCAGTGGGAGAAAGTGAAGTTGCCTTTGTGAGTTCTGTGTGGTTTTCCCCTGAGAGTTGTAAGGTGGATGAGTATCAAGCTGTTGTACTGTTGTACTCTACTACACCTTTCTCCAATGTCCCAACACCCAAGGTTTTCATGAGCATGGGTGGAGTTTCACCACAGTGATCTAATTCATGACTATTATTCTGTCTGGAGCTTTCCACCTTTCCTTCTGATATCCCTTGCTGGGCTTAAAAGAGCACAGATAAACTTCTCACGTGTCTCTGGTGAATGAGGCTTTGGAAATGAAGAGTGCAGAATTTGTCCCAGTTACCGAAGTCTGGGACCCAGCAGATTATTTTTGCCGCAAGGAGGAACTAATGATGTAGTTTAACACTGATTCAGAGCCATTAATTTCCAGAGAATATATGAAGTATGAATCAAGATACAAGAGACATCTTGCCTTTATGGAAAATATATAATAGGGAAAAGTCTCTGTACAGTCTTTTTTCAGGACAAGACTTCTAGGTCTTGATCTGACCACATCTGAAGGTGGTCCTTCCACCCATAACCTGTCATATACATATTAAGATGTATTATGTGACCCACAGTGAATCTTTTTCTTTGACTCATCTTAGCTCTTCATTGGGAAGGTTCAATGCGGAGGACACTGACTTCCAGTCAATATAAGAAGCCTAGTAACTAAATATTTGAAGTAGGGAGTAGTAAAAATGTTCCTGTTTAAACCATTGCATAAAATTCCACAGCAACAGGAATCAACAGGTTTGAATCACCAGTGCACAAACAAGAAAATAAATTTTGTGGACTCACTGTTTATATTTAATAAATACAAACCATCAATATACTCTGTAGAGTGTAGAAACAGTAAGGTGAAGTTTTATTTTTCAGTGTTAGTTCTTTTAAATCAGGCATGTGTTTTATTAGTTCTTTGTCTTGTTACTTGTCTAATTTTATGAATTGCCAGGGACTGTAAATATATGCAATGTGGAGGGAAAGAGGAAAATCTCAGGTACTTTTCTCTAATATTAAATCAACAAATGGTCCCTTCACTGCCACTTTTTTGTAATTTCCTAAAGGAATTTTTTTTTTCCTGAAAAGTTGGGCATAAAGACCAAAGAATAGCAAATTTCCATGGTCTGAATAGTTTCAACTTAACTCTTAAAGGTGAGGCTATTTTACTGTGCAAATACCTGAATATTCTTTTAGGTGCAAGGCAGAAGAGTGGATGTAAAATTTATCCACGGCAGCTGCCAGTCAGGTTCTCACAGCTCCGCTTCTGCAGCCGTGCTGTCAAAGGAGCCGCTCAGCCCTGTGGCCCTTGCAGCCCCATGGGAGAGCCGGTGCAAAAGGACAGGCTCGGGAACTGTAGGGCACACAAATCTGTTTCTGGAGGAAGACAGTGATGCAAAAGGTATTTTGCCAATCTTTTGCACCAAGGAAAAAATTAGTAAGCAGGTGAAATGGAGTGTGGGAAGTCAGGGATGCAGAGCTTTATTGCAGTTGTCAGAAAGTGATTCTCCTCATTAAACTGAGAAGCCTTTAATTAGTTGGAGCTGACTGTTGATGAAGTACACAACATTAAACATAGTTTCTAAGTTCAGACATTCAAATCCACATCTGCAAAGTGGATCTGTCCCTATAAAACTTTTGGTATCCATTTTCCCCTATTTTTTCCTTCTGTAGAATCCTGAGGGCACCAACAACTCTCCCTTCCCTCCTCCCAGGGCTTCCCCCACCATGCCCACAGCCCAAGGCCACATTTCAGCCCCAGGGCCATCAATCCTTGTCCCAGCGATGCTACACTAAGATCTCCAGCCAGGCTGTTTGAATTTGCTCTGGCAATGACAGTGGGCACAGAAATTATGCTTTCTGTTTCTACTCATTGCTCTGTCAATTGTTTCAGAAAAGCATAACCTCCTGGTAAAATTTACACTCAAAGTATGCATTTTAGTGTTTATTTACTTTAAAATGAGGCTAGTTAGCATGTATGTGGTTCTGCACTGGGGTTTGGTTGTGTCTTTTCTTCCAAAGAGGATATTTACCTGCTCCAGAAATGCAAATCTTCATGTCAATCAGTGTGACTAACATATGTCTGTCAAAGTCAATGATTTCAGCTACTGATGTGGTTCACAGTTGCTAAGTGTGCTAATTCAAGGTGTAGTACTTAGGTGAGGCAAAGTTTCTTGCAGAAATTCTACATCTAGTGGAGCTTTAGCCTTTTTTTTTCTTCTTGTAATTCTAGGACTTGAGCCTCCAAAGGACAAAACAATTATACAAGAGGAGCTGCGCAAAATCTCCCTGCCTCTCTACAGCATCCTGTCTGCCCTCACAATCCTAGGAATGATAATGGCCAGTGCTTTCTTGTTCTTTAATATCAAAAACAGAAATCAGAAGTAAGACATTCATGTTACTTCTATCACAAATTCTTTTATATTTAATGCCGTGTTTGTAGAACCAGTCACGTATATCTATCTATCTATCTATCTATCTATCTATCTATCTATCTATCTATGCACACAGATACGTAAGGAAAATGTACAGCTGTGGAAAGGTGGTATTTTAGATCTATTTAATTGAAATCACTGGGTAACATAGTCACATTAAAACAGACTGCATTTAAATGCTTTTATACTGTCTGAAAAGTGTAATTTTTCTATTTTATGTTTGACTGTCTGCTAATAATATTAACCTTAGCTAATTAATGCATCAGTAAAAGATGAGGTCTTTTTACTAAGCATTCAAAAACCTGAAACAGTGCTAAACTTTATAAAACAACAAATACTGTGCATGCCTTTACTTTTCATGGAGTTCTAGAAGAGTTATCTCTTTGCCTGCTTAGAAAAAGCTCTTCTTTATTGCTCTAGTAGCCTAGCAGTAATCTTTTCCTCTTTAATGCACTATCACCTTTTGTCCATAGACTAATAAAGATGTCCAGCCCCTACATGAACAACCTTATTATCCTTGGAGGGATGCTTTCTTATGCATCTATTTTTCTTTTTGGTCTTGATGGATCCTTTGTCTCCGAAAAGACATTTGAGACACTTTGCACAGTAAGTAATTCCATATATTGTAGTTCAATTCCAGTTGAATTCAATCTTACAGGAAACCCTGTGAGAAATGCAAACAGAAAAATTCAGTAGTTGGATGTGTCATTCCATTAAATCACTGATCCTCATTGTTCTTTCCTGGGATATTTTCTGGGACCAAATTCTAAAACGTGAACAAAACTTCATTATGGTGGTGGTTGTTCTTGTTATTGTTGTTGTTATAATTTTTTATAGAAAGCTTCAGATGCATTGACCTCAGACTGAAAGGGTAGATGTATATTCTTGTTTTGAAATCAAATCTAGAAAAATGATTTACTAAAGGTTGTGTTTGTAGCCTATGTAATACCTGTAAAGCTACTGTGTTTTCTGTATACATTCCATATGATTTTAAACTACATGAATGCTGCTTGTGTAGATCTCTTTAGTCAGTCTCTTTGGCCGATTTTCCAAAGACTTCTATTAATATTTCCAGGCTACGCTATAAATTCTCAAAAGCCTAGATCCATAGAGAATACATTCTAGATAAATCAAAACAAGCAAGTCTGAAACCAAATTAAAAATGTCCACCTAGAAACTTGTCTTGTTTGGTGTAATATGCACTTACTTTGACTTACAGAGAAAGTCCCGAAGAGAGGGATAGGGCAAGAACTTCACTGCAAGAATACTCCTTCCAGAAGCAGTACAAAACTAGTCTATAACTCTGTGAATACGATGGGGCCAATAGGAAATGGAAGATGGCATAATCCATTTTTTATCCAGGAGTTATGCCCTTTTGTATGAAGTAGCTTCTGATGGAGCAGAAGTGTCATTAGGAATCTATTGTTGATGTCAATCCCCACTGTTTTTTCATCCTCCATTCAGAAGGATCTAGTGGCATGGGACACAATTTTTAAGTCTTGATATCTGCTCAGTCTTGAGGGGCTTGTATCCAGAGCTGAATTCCCTGCCAGGCTGCCAGGCCATTGTATGGCTGGGCTGCAACCCTCCTATGGAAGCAGCCATGTACTGTTGAGCAGAAGGAAAGTGGGATCCAGAGGTACTAATCAGCATCTGTCTGTTCTAGGAAACAAATTTCCAACCAAATGTAGCTTTATAAGACTGAATTTGAGTCCTTCTTTACATGTGAAACAGCTCAGTCTTAACTCTAAAAAATGAACCAATGTCCAAAATCCTGTGCCTCTGAGCTAGAAGATTTCTTCTATCTGATTTTTCTCTAATCTGCCTCTCAAAATGTAATCACTAGTCTCATTTTCTAAATGCAACAAAATGTTACTGTGGGCTACTTATTTAGTCTAATCCTACATACCTCTTTTCTTTACTCCAGTTTGTGTTTGTAACATTATGTTAGGTCTGTTTGTCTGCCATAGAGGGATAGATCTTCACTTGAGTAAAACAATTACTGGGCTTCAGTGACCAATAAAAGAAAGTGTTGAAGGAGAGTGCTGTGCCCTAAAGTCAAACTTTGATTAAGAATTATCACCTCATGCCTTAAGCAGAGATTTTTTTTTTTTTTTTTAGTTAAATGCTGTATAAACAGAGCAGAGTCTGAGATTTCTTCTCAGTCTTGGCTTTCCAGGTTTTCAGTCCAGTACAGAAGCATTTCTGATTGTGTTTTCCTGTGCATGGCTACTAATGTATCTTATGAAGCCCAGCTCTGTCAGCAATTAGTACTATAGTCATAGATGCTACAAATCCTTCAGTAGCCACTGATAAGGAAGGTTTTTTCAACATCCTACACATTAAAACAATTATTTTAAATCTTTTTCCTCCAAATATATTCTTTTAAATGGGATAGCTTACGCTTCTCTTAGATATCATCTCAACATGGTGAGATACATGGTCAACCATACACTGTGGCAATGTGCTTTTATTGTATCTAGAAAACTCTTAATTAATGCTGGGAAATTCATAAATATGGGAGGCAAAAGCACTTACCTGTTGAACAACTTTTCTCTCTCTCCTCCTCTCCTCAAAACATGTAACAAGTGCTGGGTACATTGTGTACATTTGTCTCCATGTCACCAACATCTCAGTTCTCATATGCTTTAGTGGTTTCATAAGGTCTGCTTACAGATACCAGTGCTTATAGGATCAGGCCAGAACAAATTTCTCTTCATCATCCATCTGCCTTGAAATGAATTATTTTTTTTACTCATTCTAGCCATGAGAGATTAGTTTAAAATTCCCATTTCATTTCAGACTGTGGCTTAGTCTTAAAAGAGCCAATTACAATTAAGAGTGATCATAAAAAACCATTCAGGCAAGTTGTCAGGATGTAACAACTGTATCTCAGACACAGAAGAGCCATATGTCAACGAAGGGAGATACTTTTTTGGAAGGGAAGTAAAAGTTTTCATTCAAGTTTTATAAGCACATGCAAAGCTATAAAGCTGTCATTAGTGTGTATACCCTGTCCAAGCCAAGCAATCACCCTCATTGTCTTCTGCATTTCAGAAGTGATAAGATTCACCAGAGTAGCAGTATATACACAATAGCCAGTGTACTTAATTGGATATGTTCTTTATGGTCTCTGTTTAAGTTCTGACTATTTTTGGCCAACTTATAGGAGGTCCTTAACACTTCTGTGTTTACTAAGGTGTTCCTGCCACAGCAAGGGGATTGGAAATAGGTGGTCTTTAAGGCATATTACATTCCAGGCCATTCTATTATTCTGTCCTCACAAATTCAGGAAAATTGGTTTCCACAATGTAGGTATTACATTCAACTCTGTTTCGTTTGTTTCCTCTAGAGAATGTTGTTTGTAATGCTGTTTGGAGGGTGAAATGCTTTGCAACATCAGCTCTTTTTTTACTTTTCAACAGTTTATGTCTATATGTAACATATGCCTAATGCTGTAATATTCCAAGGACACTGAAACATGACCCAGAATTACACCAGTAACACCTGAATGGTTCAAAGGATTTATTTGCTAAGTTGTACTACCACTTGCCACTCTGTAAGGCACTGGGTGTAGGAGGAGGTGGTCTATAAGTCATTATGTTGAAACATAGAAACAAGTGTTAAGCGTAGTTAAGAGTCAGCAAAGCACTTTAAACATATAGTCAAATAATTTGCTGAGTAAGGGTATTATATTAGTCTTTAAAATTATAAAATGTGGACTTTGTGACAGAGTGATAGAGTGGATAATTTGTTCCCAAACACACTCATTTTTATCTTGGTATGCCCATTTTCTATGGAAAAGTAATCAAGTATATTTAAATACATAATAATTCTGTGTTTTCGTAGTAAGAACTCGTAATAGCAAATGTAGCATGATTTAGTTCCATGTCAGAATTAGAGATTAGGTATCATATTTTATAACTCCAATTATATGGAATTAAAAGGATCCAGAGAAGTGAGTTCTGAGAAAGTGGTCAGTGTATTATTGAACCATTAGATCATGTCTTACTTAATAGCAACTTTATTGGTTGTACAGCACAAGAAAAAGCAATAAAATATTTCGTTACATCCATAGGTATGCCAAAGTACAAAGTGTTTCAGAGAGAGAGAATGAGAATGATTTATCTTTGTTTTTAATCTCTGTATCACCATGGTATCATAGCAAAAAAACCCCCCAAAAAACCCCAAAAAAACCCCAAACAATCAAACAAACAAACAAAAAAAACCAAACCAATAAAACCAACCAAAAAAAAAAGGAGAAGTTAGAGGTAAGGGTGTGAAATGAGATGTGGTGCCAACTGGAAAAATGCAAGCAAGTGGAAACATCTTTGAAAGCAGTCATTATATGGAAGAGAGACTCAAAATTAGCAATGCTAGTGACATATCCTATGAATAGAGTTTAAGGTGACATACTAAATAGAGATACTTAAAATAGAGAGAATATTAGATAAGATCATAACGTTTAGACTTCTGAAATATATTCCACTGAGAGTTTCATGTTTTAAGATGAGTAATGTTTTTCCAAGTTCTAACTGCTATGGAATGAAAGACTACTATGGTCCTGAGGATGACCATGGTCTTCTCTGTTATGCATCTTCCTCAAGTAAGTAAATCTAATTATTAAGTTGGTGCTGAAGGTGTTTTAAGTACTCCACATTGCTCTGACCCATAGTTCCACAAAAAAAGGCCTGGTTCATTGGGTAGTAGTAGAGTGAACAGCTCTTCTCTTCAGTTTTGATAGTTCTGATGTGTAGCAGGACTTTCTCCTGGGGAGTGTGCTGCGCTGGGTCATTGCAGTGATTGGAAAGGAACAAATGATCTGTCCTGATTAATTTAATATCGGTTCATGCTTTGATAGGAGATATGTATTCTACAGATAGAAAATGCATTTCAATATCCTTTACACTCCAAAGTGTTCTGCAAAAGTGTCACATAAAATATAAGAGGATTTAAGTCTTGCAATTTACATAGGCACTAAAATGAAGCATGCTTTGTCTTGTCCGTCTCATTAGTTAGCATAGTGTATATGCATTGCCAAAGCCAGGCAGATGTTCTGTGATTTCAGGTGATCTCACTGAGCCTGGTCAGTGTTTTGGCTTGGATGAAGTAAAAAAAAAACAAAAAACCACACATGAAAGTTTTTGTACACTGCAGACTGTTCTCAGGCTCTTAGGTTTTAGTTGGCTACTCTCAGCCATGATGTGGGCATTTGGAAAAACTCTTTGTATAGAAAGAAGAAACCAAACAGTGGGGTGGGATGGAGAGACAGAGAGGAGAGAGTACAGACCACTGATAAAGTCCAGCTCACTACTACAGTGTGTATGTGACTACCCAGAATTTTTGTTTTTCTCAGAAAAACATCTTGATTACATGTGCATTCATGGCAGCAGTAGATGTTATAGACCTTCTATCTTCTCAAAAGTGCATTTTAAAAGGTGACCTTTAAATGTGTCCAAATATTCAGACATACTTAGCATTTTCAACAATATTATTCTTAATCATGGGTCATGAACCCTTTTGACTCTGTGCCTTGCAACAACGTGAAAGGCAGGGTTTTTTTCTTTTTTACTGTTATTTTTTGGGTTTTTTTTTGCGGGGGAGGA